CATCAGCCATTCCCCTTATGCCCAGGCGTTACTCAAGCCTCAATTAAGCTTCCGGAGACGTCTTAAGACGTTTTAAGAGATGTCTTAAGTCTTAAGACGTCTTCCGAAGCTTTAGAGGTCATAAGACGCAGCCACACTCCGGGCTGTTGGGCATTTTTCTCCAGCCTCTAATGTTATCGAGAGTCAGCTTCGTAATGTTCCAGTGACGTATTCAACTATTGGTGTTGGTCATGGCTAAAATTTTACCACAGGGAAAAATAGCAAAGGGCCTATCCTCACGGCCTAGTCTCATGTCGTCCCTACAGTTCCAAGCCTCCGTGTTCTTAAAGATGCCAATACTGGTGCTCCTGTGAGTTCCATCAGTGATTATGTCGGAGATGTCTCCATGTCTCCTCTCTCTCTGTTTACTGTTCTCCGTGTGTGTTCTCCTTGGCACTGTTCTCCGTGTGTGTTCTCCTTGGCACTGTTCCTCCTTGGCACTGTTCCTCCTCCCCTTTCGTGTCCCATTTTCCTCACCCCCCATCCCTTCTCCCTTGTCATAATTTTCATTTCCTTCCCAATTTGATTGATCTAGCTTAACCTACTGTGTGTGTGTGTGTGTGTGTGTGTGTGTGTGTGTGTGTGTGTGTGTGTGTGTGTGTGTGTGTGTGTGTGTGTGTGTGTGTCTTCCCACAAAACGGGTGGTGAAACCTGTAGCTGGCAATCACAGCTTCCTTGATCAATGCGCCCTTGATTATCGCTGATCCTCCCTGAGGTAACCTCCTCTCTCCCCTCACCCCCTCCCTCTTCCTGTATGCTTACTGCACCTTTCCCCTCAGTTCTCTCCTCTCTCCCCCCTCAGCCCCACCCCCTCTCACCTGCTCCACCACTCACACACCCACTCAGCCGTTACGCGTAGTGTCGCCGTCAGCACTAAGTGATCACCATAGTACAAGACCGTACGGGCTCGCCATAGCCCGTGCTACATGGACACGTCGTTCTGAGTAGCTAAATCTGAAACAACAATATACAGGACCTCGTTCACATATGGCACAGTCTTCTGGCCTCTTTGTTTACAACTGGCTTATAATGGACACCAAATTGTCGGCACCTTTATATACAGAGCAACGGAGGCGGTCAAGGAGAGTACAGAGGCGGTCAAGGAGAGTACAGAGGCGGTCAAGGAGAGTACAGAGGCGGTCAAGGAGAGTACAGAGGCGGTCAAGGAGAGTATAGAGGCGGTCAAGGAGAGTACAGAGGCGGTCAAGGAGAGTATAGAGGCGGTCAAGGAGAGTACAGAGGCGGTCAAGGAGAGTATAGAGGCGGTCAAGGAGAGTACAGAGGCGGTCAAGGAGAGTATAGAGGCGGTTCAAGGAGAGTACAGAGGCGGTCAAGGAGAGTACAGAGGCGGTCAAGGAGAGTACAGAGGCGGTCAAGGAGAGTATAGAGGCGGTCAAGGAGAGTACAGAGGCGGTCAAGGAGAGTACAGAGGCGGTCAAGGAGAGTACAGAGGCGGTCAAGGAGAGTACAGAGGCGGTCAAGGAGACTACGAAGGCGGTCAAGGAGACTACGAAGGCGGTCAAGGAGACTACGAAGGCGGTCAAGGAGACTACGAAGGCGGTCAAGGAGACTACAGAGGCGGTCAAGGAGAGTACAGAGGCGGTCAAGGAGAGTACAGAGGCGGTCAAGGAGAGTACAGAGGCGGTCAAGGAGAGTATAGAGGCGGTCAAGGAGACTACGAAGGCGGTCAAGGAGACTACGAAGGCGGTCAAGGAGACTACAGAGGCGGTCAAGGAGAGTACAGAGGCGGTCAAGGAGAGTATAGAGGCGGTCAAGGAGACTACGAAGGCGGTCAAGGAGACTACGAAGGCGGTCAAGGAGGACTACAGAGGCGGTCAAGGAGAGTACAGAGGCGGTCAAGGAGACTACGAAGGCGGTCAAGGAGACTACGAAGGCGGTCAAGGAGACTACAGAGGCGGTCAAGGAGACTACAGAGGCGGTCAAGGAGACTACAGAGGCGGTCAAGGAGAGTACAGAGGCGGTCAAGGAGACTACAGAGGCGGTCAAGGAGACTACAGAGGCGGTCAAGGAGAGTACAGAGGCGGTCAAGGAGACTACAGAGGCGGTCAAGGAGACTACAGAGGCGGTCAAGGAGACTACGAAGGCGGTCAAGGAGAGTACAGAGGCGGTAGATACTACGAAGAATTATAAACATGAAGACTCCTGTACTGGAGAATGGGAACGACATATGTATTCTTGTCCAAGTTTCTACTTGAGAGTGCCCAGCACATCAGATGCCACACTGGGTCGGGCTGGGTCACGGCGGCACCAACAACAGTGCCGGCCACAGTCGAAACAAATGGGCCAGATTTTCTTTCACCTTAATGCACCTGTTCACCTAGCAGTAGTAAATAGGTACCAGGGAGTTAAGACAGCTGCTACGGGCTGCTTCCCGCGTGTGTGTTTACTAGTTGTATTTACTAGTTGTGTTTACTAGTTGTGTTTACTAGTGTGTTTACTAGTTGTGTTTTTGCGGGGGTTGAGCTTTGCTCTTTCGGCCCGCCTCTCAACTGTCAATCAACTGTTTACTAACTACTTTTTTTTTCCCACACCACACACACCCCCCCCCCCCCCAGGAAGCAGCCCGTGACAGCTGACTAACTCCCAGGTACCTATTTACTGCTAGGTAAACAGGGGCATTCAGGGTGAAAGAAACTTTGCCCATTTGTTTCTGCCTCGTGCAGGAATCGAACCCGCGCCACAGAATTACGAATCCTGCGCGCTATCCACCAGGCTACGAGGTCCCTGTGTGTGTGTGTGTGTGTGTGTGTGTGTGTGTGTGTGTGTGTGTGTGTGTGTGTGTGTGTGTGTGTGTGTGTGTGTGTGTGTGTGTTAGAAATATATGTAGTAGATATAATGGAGGAAAAAATAGATTGGTTGGAAAGGCGGGGTCCAAGAGCTAATAACACGATTCTGCAGACACAAATAGTAAACACAAGTTTGGATTGGCACTAATCCATCGGCGTGTGATCCTGCCATCGATATTTATCCAATCCTAACACGTGGGTAACCCCCCCTACCCCCCCTTCCCCCACCCCCCCCGGTCAAGTATCCCGGTGTTGATGTCTTGGTTGGCTGAGCGGAGTGGGGGGGGGGGGAGTTTCCCTCCACTCCATAGAGGGGAGAAAGGTCAGGACCCTCCACCATAGAGGAGGGGAAGGTCAGGACCCTCCACCATAGAGGGTGGGAAGGTCAGGACCCTCCACCATAGAGGAAGGGAAGGTCAGGACCCTCCACCATAGAGGAGGGGAAGGTCAGGACCCTCCACCATAGAGGGGAGAAAGGTCAGGACCCTCCACCATAGAGGAGGGGAAGGTCAGGACCCTCCACCATAGAGGAGGGGAAGGTCAGGACCCTCCACCATAGAGGAGGGGAAGGTCAGGACCCTCCACCATAGAGGGGAGAAAGGTCAGGACCCTCCACCATAGAGGAGGGGAAGGTCAGGGACCCTCCACCATAGAGGAGGGGAAGGTCAGGACCCTCCACCATAGAGGAGGGGAAGGTCATGACCCTCCACCATAGAGGGGAGAAAGGTCAGGACCCTCCACCATAGAGGAGGGGAAGGTCAGGACCCTCCACCATAGAGGGGAGAAAGGTCAGGACCCTCCACCATAGAGGAGGGGAAGGTCATGACCCTCCACCATAGAGGAGGGGAAGGTCAGGACCCTCCACCATAGAGGAGGGGAAAGTCATGACCCTCCACCATAGAGGAGGGGAAGGTCAGGACCCTCCACCATAGAGGAGGGGAAGGTCATGACCCTCCACCATAGAGGAGGGGAAGGTCAGGACCCTCCACCATAGAGGAGGGGAAGGTCAGGACCCTCCACCATAGAGGAGGGGAAGGTCAGGACCCTCCACCATAGAGGAGGGGAAGGTCAGGACCCTCCACCATAGAGGGGAGAAAGGTCAGGACCCTCCACCATAGAGGGGAGAAAGGTCAGGACCCTCCACCATAGAGGGGAGAAAGGTCAGGACCCTCCACCATAGAGGAAAGGAAGGTCAGGACCCTCCACCATAGAGGGAGAAGGTCAGGACCCTCCACCATAGAGAGGGGAAGGTCAGGATCCTCCACCATAGAGGAGGGGAAGGTCAGGACCCTCCACCATAGAGAGGGGAAAGGCCAGGACCCTCCACCATAGAGAGGGGGAAGGTCAGGACCCTCCACCATAGAGAGGGGGAAGGTCAGGACCCTCCACCATAGAGAGGGGGAAGGTCAGGACCCTCCCCATAGAGAGGGGGAAGGTCAGGACCCTCCACCATAGAGAGGGGGAAGGTCAGGAACTTCCACCATAGAGAGGGGGGGAGAGAGAAGGTCAGGACCTTCCACCATAGAGAGGGGGGGGAGAGAAGGCCAGGACCCTCCACCATAGAGAGGGGAAAGGCCAGGACCCTCCACCATAGAGAGGGGGAAGGTCAGGACCCTCCACCATAGAGAGAGGGGGGAGAGAAGGTCAGGACCCTCCACCATAGAGAGGGGGAAGGTCAGGACCTTCCACCATAGAGGGGGGGGGAGAGAGGTCAGGACCCACCGCTGGAGTGAAGATAAAGTGCCCTCAATGTCCCCTCCTACCACACCTAAACAGGCCAGGCGACTGCCTCCCCCCCCCCCCACCACCACCACCATGACAACCACCCCCCAACCACCACCACCCCCGCCTACCTCCTCCTGCGTCTCCCACATAGTGTCCCGTCGCGGCCGCACTTCGGCAGGAGGCCAGATCCAGCACCACCTCCTTATCGTCCTGAGGCAGCTCTACTACTTTCAAAAGACGATTCGTGATTCCTTCTTACTGTCCACTTAAATAACATATCATGCGACGAGTGCCTGGTAGTGCCAGCCCCGAACACCACCACCACCACCCTCCCCTCCTTGGCACCCCCGTGACTAACGCTCCAGTAAGGACGCGGGTGAACGCACCAGCCCGACACTCACCTCCCTCAGACACGCTAAAACGCAAACTGACCCAAACGCCCCACCGCGTCTCCCTTATATACGTGCTCCGGCAGGTATCAGATGGCGGAATTTAACCTCAGCGGCAGCCTTACTCCGCCACCACTTTGCATGGTGCGTGCGCGCCCCTGTTGAGCGCCCACACCCAGCGGGAGAGGACCCGCAGAGGGGCAAGATACAACAGGATAAGAGAGGGAAGGAAGGGGGTAAGGAGAAAGATGAAGAGGGAGGGAGGGAGGGGCAGGATAGGAGAGAACAATAGCAAGGATGCTCCTCCACCACACAGCTGGCGTTGACACACACATGCACACACACACACACACACACACACACACACACACACACACACACACACACACACACACACACACACGCACACGCACACGCACACGCACACGCACACACACACGCACACACACACACACACACACACACACACACACACACACACACACACACACACACACACACACACACACACACACACACACACACACACGAACACACACACGCACGCACACGTACGCACGTACACACACACACAGGCCTTGCGACTGAGTGGATAGCGCCTGGGGGTCGTAGTCCCAATGGCCCGAGTTCGATTCCCGGCGGAGGCGGAAACAAATGGGCAGAGTTTCATTCATCCTGATGCTCCTGTTCACCTAGCAGTAAATAAGAACCTGGGAGTTAGACAGCTGCTACGGGCTGCTTCCTGGGGATGTGTGTGTGTGTGTGTTAGAGAGAAATATATGTAGTAGATATAATTGAGGAAAAATAGATTGATTAGAAAGGCGGGGTCCAAGAGCTAATAGCTCGATTCTGCAGACAAATAGTAAATACTAGGTGAGCACATGCGCGTGCGCACGCGCACACACATATACACACACACACACACCAGTGGAGTACCACAGGGGTCAGTCCTTGAACCTATACTGTTCCTGATATATGTAAATGATCTCCCAGATGGAATAGACTCGTTCCTCTCATTGTTTGCTGATGATGCAAAAATTATGAGGAGGATTAAGACAGAGGAGGACAGTATGAGGCTACAAAATGACCTAGACGAGCTGAAGGAATGGTCCAACAAATGGCTACTACAGTTCAACCCGAGTATATGTAAGGTAATGAAACTAGGTGGAGGAAATAGGAGGCCAGACACTGGATACAGAATGGGAGATGAAGTCCTTCACGAAACGGACAGAGAGAAAGATCTAGTTGATATCACGCCAAACCTGTCTCCTGAAGCCCACATCAAAAGAATAACATCGGCGGCGTATGCGAGGCTGGCTAACATTAGAACTGCCTTCAGAAACCTGTGTAAGGAATCTTTCAGAACCTTGTATACTACGTATGTAAGGCCAATCCTGGAGTATGCGGCCCCAGCATGGAGCCCGTACCTTGTCACGCACAAGACGAAGCTGGACAAAGTTCAGAGGTATGCCACTAGGCTAGTCCCAGAACTAAGAAGCATGAGTTACGAGGAAAGGTTGATCGAACTGCACCTCACGTCGCTGGAAGACAGAAGAGTAAGAGGAGACATGATCACAACATACAAAATTCTCAGAGGCATTAACAGGGTAGACAAGGATGGATTATTTAACAGGGTGGTACACGCACAAGGGGACACAGGTGGAAGCCGAGTACCCAAATGAGCCACAGAGACATTAGAAAGAACTTTTTCAGTGTCAGAGTAGTTAGTATATGGAATGAACTAGGAAGTGATGTGGTGGAGGCTGACTCCATACACAGTTTCAAATATAGATATGATAGTAGGCCCAGTAGGCTCAGGAACCTGTACATCAGTTGATTGACAGTTGAGAGGCGGGACCAAAGAGCCAAAGCTCAACCCCCGCAAGCACAATTAGGCGAGTACGCACACACACACACACACACACACACACACACACACACACACACACACACACACACACACACACACACACACACACACACACACACATCCTTCACTACTCACCTCAGACCCCCAGCAACACCCCCCCCCCTCATTATACACTTGGGGAAACAGAAAGAAGGTCCACAGAACCCCAGAAGCTTGCTCCCTCCAGCCCAGCTCACCCACACACGGCCACGGCTCCAGGATAGGGAGGGAGGGAGGGAGAGGCTACGGCAAACGAAGGGAGGGAAGGGGAAGGGGGGAGTGATAAGAGAGGAGGGAAGCATGGGGAAGGGGGAGGAAGAC